CCCTGCTCATATCGGCTCTTTTGCTTGTCACGACGTCTTTTAATTCCCCTATATTCATTGGCCGATATTTGCTTCTTGGGATCGACTGTTCTAACTTCTCTTGATTTGGTTGATGTTAGGACCTTAGTCTTTCTTTTGAGCAACCTAGCATCAACCATGTTTTGATCTCGTAGAAAATGATTATCATCAACTTTCATCTTCCGAGGCGTATCAAATTTGAGCCTTCCTTGCTGAATAGCCCTCTGTATATGCTGCCGAAAAATTCTGCATTCATTTGTAGAATGAGAAGTAGCGTTATGGAACTTGCAGAACTTCTTATTCTTCAACTGATCAGGGGGCAATATAACATGATTATCGGGCAACTTGATCTGTCCCTTTTCAAGCAAGAAATCGAAGAGCTTGTCTAATTTTGTGACATCAAAGTCATATCTCTCCTCGACTCCTCTTCTCCAAGGATTTGGCACCATTACTGTCTTTTTGCCCCAATTCTATTCAGCCACAGCAACCTCTTCCTCTTCATCTCCATAGCCGTCATCGACTGAGTATGGATTATAAGCTTCGGCCACTGTGGTACTCTTTTGGAATCGGGATATCTCTACACATACTCTAGAACTGGCTATTGAGCGCTGCCACTTGTTGAGCCAATTGACCCAAGTTGTCAAATTCTTGCCCCAACAGCTTTTCTTCCCACATTGGCAGCATTCCTTGAATGGCTAAAGCAGCTAGTTGATCATTAGCCAAGTTTAATGAGAAGCATAAGTTCCTAGTTTCTTGGAACCTCTGAAGAAACTCAGTGCCCGATTCATTAGTCTTCTGCCATATGGTTGTCAGATCGGTAATCTTCTTTTCTCCACCCCTAGTACAAAAATATGTATGAAATTTCTTCTCGAGGTCAGCCCAGTTGGCAATGGAGTTGACTGGCAGTGATGAAAACCAAATGAAGGCTAGCCCTGACAGGGACAAGGAGAAGAAATGAACTCGATGGGCCTCCTCAACTGATGCCTCGCCCAATTGTGTAAGATACCGACTGACATGTTCTATTGTGCTTGTACTGTCTTGGCTAGTGAACTTAGCAAACTCTGGAAGCCTGTAATTTGTAGGAAGAGCGACCAAATCATACCATTCTGGGTATGGGCGTTTGTACAAAAAGGTGAGCCCTTTTGGCTTCAGACCGAACTGGTTCTTCATCATCTTGGTCACCTTTAGCAGCAACTCGTCAGCATGTGAATTTGGATCTCTCTGCACCTACTAACCCATCTGTGGATTGAAATCCCGTGTGCCTTGATACCCTGGATTCGGAATTATGTGAAGGGTGTTATAATCTGTGCCATAATGATACCCCTGTGGAATCTATATCTGCTGGGTTCTTTGCTGGTTTGCTGCATGAAGTCTCTGATTGTAGACATGAGGATCTATGTCTCTATGGATCTTTTAAATTGATGGTGCTATTTTTTAGCCGACGACAGTATGTGGCTTGATGTGCCAAAATTAATCACCTGGTTCTAACCTTGCCCCGCCGGCTGTTGCACATGCTGTACTGATGATCTAGGATTATACTGTGTCTGATTCGTAGTAGTACCTTGAGGTTGTTCAGATGAACCTTGAACTGCATGGACATCATCATTACCAGCTGGTGCTGCTTCTTGATGGCTGGTACCGACTTGATTAGTCCATTGGGTCGATAGATGTGGAATGTTGTAATAAGCCGGCCCAACTTGACCAACTGGAAACCCAAGAATCGCCTCTTTCATGGCGTTGTGGAATGTGTCCAAGAAAGCTTCATTATGGCTTGATATGGCGTCACAAACAGATTTGTTTACAACTTCCATAAAGAAACGCCTGTCTTCAGCTTCAACTATATCTGTCTGCCCGTGTAATAGAACTCTTGGTAGTAGATATTTCTGAACAATTGTGTTGTCACATGTTTTGGTGTAGGACAACAAGCAGTTGTTTTGAAATTCTTCTGTAGCTTTGTCGATGACATCTTTATCTCCAACAGGTGATCTTCATAATGTACCATGAGGATATCGTTGTTGTTGTGAACCGCTATAACGATTGTGGTGTCCCACCGAGCGTGTCAAGAACGTGTGTCGGCATGAAATTTTGTCCTGTGCCAAGGGCACACGAGCAAGCCGAAGGGTCCGCTCGATGGAGCTAGAGATCCGCCTAGCTTCAAGCGAGGATGGTCGATCCTGCGCACTCCTCCCGAGACGTGTCAGTCAATTTAACCCTACAATTGACAAGGAGAGAAAGCTAATCAGTAATTTAAGGCGGAACATGCTGGTGTTGCCAGACAGTCCCGAATGTGCGGCTCTGAGAGCCGATATGGAAGAAAATCGACTAAATAGTCGATTTCAGCATACTCACAAGAATAAATCAATTAAAGCTCATAGAATTATGAAAGATAAATCGGTTATCATTCAGGATTGATCTCGTTATTTAAACAAACATAAGTCAATGGCAATAAGATGTCAACAATAATTAGTTTATGCTAAGCCAATGACTACAAGTAACCGAATCCCTTTTGTATAAATGAAACAACTCATCGTCATTTAACCATTTAATAAAGATAAATCTAATAAATATATTAGATCTCATCTATCGCTATGACCAGTGGGGCATGAGGCAGAATAATGTAGGCCGTAGAAACAACAATAGATTCAACGACCCTAACTTATTACTAATATCAGTGGAGCATGAGGTAGAATCATGCAGGCCATAATACAATAATAAGATCATGGAGCTAACACATCTTTCAACCTATCTCTACTTCAACGGTCTCGTGACGTGAACTGTTCATGAAAGCACTGGATATCGACTAAAACAGCCGATTCATGCATAGCGCATAGTTAAGGTCATATTCTCTCAGGGACAGATCTACAAAGTAACGATCCCCACTCCATGGTGCTAACAGTGGGGTGTGAGGCAGAATCACACAGTCCGTGATAACGGGCTCTAGAATGGTTTTCGCTAGCCAATAGATCTACTCGAGATCAGACGTGCCTTAACCGCACACTATGCACGATTAAGATTGACATAGAACAGCCGATAAAACATAACTCATCGTTTAAAGTGTAGATTAGATCAAATTTAGATTAACAAACGATGGGTTAAACAGAATATAAGACCGATCTAGATCAATCCCAACCGGGCGAAGTGATATTGCTGTAATTAAATAAATAATGAAAGCAATAAGCAATATCGATAACTTAATGAATCTATCCGAAGGAACGCCACCCTTAGATAGAGCCGATAACTTGACCTTAATCTAGTTCGAGCAGTGGAGGTCGACCGGGTCGATGCAGTCTTACTTGAACTAGACAAGAGTCGATAACTAGCTTATACCAGAGTCGCAGTGGAGGTCGACCAGATCGATGCAGCCGTACGAACAGAAGTATAAGCCATGATGGTACTTATAGACAAGCAGTGGAGGTCGACCGGATCAATGCAGCCATACTTGCTGATGAACTCGCCGAGATCTACTCTACTCCTACTCCTAAGGGGTGGCCGGAGCCAAAAAAAGTAAGTAACTTGTATTTGATTGATTGTGTGTCTTACAATAGCCGGGGGTCCAATATTTATACCCGAAGCCTAAACATGAATCATATTTGAACACGACTCGTTACAATCTTTGGCATAGAATAAAATATTCCTAATTTAAGATAACTTGGACCCTAATCTTTCTCTTTTTGTAGAGTCCGATATGCAATTTCCTGGTACCAACCGTAGCTCATTATCGCTATCTGCTGACGTCATCCAAAGAGATCTGATTCCAGAGTCATATCTGAATCAGCTGATATCGATCTTCATGCAATCGATTCCTTGATGGGTACAATTTGAAGGCCTTCGAATTCCCGCATTCTTCTTTCCAAATTTCGGTGTAAACAACAACCAATGCCAAATTAGAGAGCGCAAATACTTAGCTACATAAACTAAGCAATACGACTAACAAGGTTACACAAACAAAATTAGCCACGCAAGGGAGCTACTTATATGCCACACAAGCAAGAAGGTAACTAGTGAGCTACACAAGCTAACTAATTACAAGAGCAACTACGCAAGCACAATGTATATGAAAGTAATTACAAGCTTGTGTAAGGGGATTGCAAACCAACAGGAAGAATAATGTTGACACGGTGATTTTTCTCCCGAGGTTCACGTGCTTGCCAACACGCTATGTCCCCGTTATGTGGACCGCTCACATGGTGGTTCGGCGGCTAATTGGCATCACCTACCAAGCCCGCACGTCGGGCATCGCAAGAACCTACCCCGTATGTGAGGGTAGCTCAATGACACGCTCAACTAGAGTTGCTCTTCGCGGCTCCCGCGGGGCGAGCACAATGCCCCTCACAAAGCTCTTCTCTAGAGCACCACACAAGCTTCTTGTAGGCTTCGACGGAGACCACCACCAAGCCATCTAGGAGGTGGCAACCTCCAAGAGTAACAAGCACCACCGGCTTACAACTCGATCACCTAGTGCCACTCGATGCAACCTCATAATGCAATCGCACTAGAATTGCTAACTCACTCGATCGGATGAACACTATCAAGCTCAAGTGAGTTAAAGGGCTCCCAAGCACTACCACATAAGCCACCAAGGCTTTAGTGTGCTAAGCTCTACTAAGCTCCCAGCCAAAGGCCGACCAACACTTCTATTTATAGCCCTACGGGCTAAAATAGCCATTACCCCTTCACTGGGCATTTTTTGGGACAATCGGACGCGCTAGTCGGATCGATCGGACACACCCTGCCAGCGTCCGATCAAGCTACGCCGTCCATGTGTCGCTCTGCGTTCAACCGGAGCCGCTCGATCTCAACGGTTAAGTTGCGACCGGACGCGCACCACGAGGATGACCGGACGCTGCTATGCCTGAGTCTGGTAATTATTTGTTGGATTACTTAGTAGATTTAGCTATTAGCTAGCTAACTATTAGCACCCATGCGTATGCTAATAAAGATGGATTAATAATGCCATGCATGCATGTACTAGATACTATTAGCTAGGTACGATGTAGGATGATGTATATGTATACCTTGGGAGACTTGTTCATGGAGGAGGCCACCGATGAGTCACCGGCGGCATTGCAGCAGGTGGCGTCGGGGAGGCGGTACTCGTTCATGCCCCAGTCGGTCTTGGTGCCACATGGCACGCGGCCCTCATAGTAGACGAGCATCTTCTTAAGCCCGATGAGGTGCTTGGGGTCAGTGGTACACCGCATGGCGCAGACCGACCCCGTGCCTTCTAGAACCCGCGCTCCGTGGTGCGGCTAGGCCGGCCACCGCTACTAGAGCCGCCGGACTGGTGCTGCTTGGCTGCCCGGCTGCCGCCGCCATCACGGGGCACGAAGAAGTATCACTCGCGCTCGCCGATGCGAGCTAGACCTAGGAGCTCCCAGGGGTCATGCCGGTATAGGTGCACCGTGGGGTTGATGTCGAACTTGAGCTTACGCCCGTGCACTCAAATGTCCTTCTCTCCTTCCTTCATACTCAAATGTTGGTAAAGATCCTCGTATGCTCTACCCTTTGCCACACTTACAGCTCGCTTTGCAGTCTTCTTTGCCACCTTGTACTTCTCTATGTTGTCCACACTCCTGTCATGGTACAAGCGTCTATAGTATTCTTTCTTCTACTTAATAGCCCTTTGTCCACACTTCTCTATGTTGTCCACCACCAAGTATCTTTAGCCTCGCCTCCACTTCCTTTGGTTACTCCACACACCTCTGAGGCTACCTTTCGAATGTTGGTTGCCATGTTCTCCCACATGTTGTTTATATCCTCTTCTTCCTTCCAAAAGCCCTCTTTGATAACATTTTCCCTAAATACCTCTGATGTTTCCCCTTTTAGTTTCCACCACTTTGTTCTTTCAATCTTAGCTTGTTTATCCCTATAGGCACGCACCTGAAAACAAAAGTCTACCACCAAAAGCTTCTGTTGAGAAACAACACACTCCCCTGGTATCACCTTGCAACCCAAGCATGCTCGTTTGTCCTTTCTTCTTGTGAGAACAAAGTCAATCTGGCTAGAGTGTAGTCCGCTACTGAAGGTCACTAGATGAGATTCTCTCTTTCTAAAGAAAGTGTTGGCTATCATTAGGTCAAAAGCTACTGTGAAGTCCCAGAACTTTATCCCCCTCCTGATTCCTACTACCATACTCAAAACCTCCATGAACTACCTCAAAACCTGCGCTTGTAGTACCTACATGCTCATTAAGATCTCCTATAAAAAGTTTCTCACTACTAGGTACAACTCTAATCAGGCCATCTAAGTCTTCCCAAAACTGTCTCTTAGCACTCTCATCAAGGCCTACTTAGGGAGGTATACGCACTAATTACGTTCAAGACCATATCACCAACGACAAGCTTGATTAACACTAGTAGAGAAATGACTTTTGATCCACTTCGAAATTTGGCTTTAGTCCCGATATTTTTTACGCCCGGGACTAGAGAAACCTTTAGTCCCGGTTGGTAGCTCTACCCGGGACTAAAGGTCCCTGCCCAACAGTTACCGAGGTGTGTCAGAGGCATGTCAATGCGAGAATCTTTAGTCCCGGTTTGAGACATGAACCCGGACTAAAAGTGTGACTTTTAGTCCCAGTTTGAGACACGAGCCTAGACTAAAGGTACCTTTAGTCCTGGTTTATGTCTCAAACCTTGACTAAAGGTGTCTCCAAACTGAATTTAAAAGGAAAGCGTATCTTATCTAAGTAAGATGTGTGGTGGTAGGTGGGATGGTAACGCGTGCAAGAGCTGAAGTGGGATGTCGTAGGTTCAAATCTCCACAGCTGCAACTTTTTTTACCCAATAAATACCTCTACTCCCGGTTGGAGGAACCGGGACTAAAAATCAAGACCTTTAGTCCCGATTGTGTAGTCCCGGTTCCAAAACCGGGATTAAAGGGGGTTGAGAACTGGGACTACAGCCCGTTTCTCTACTAGTGTAAGATAATCCTATCTCCTTGCCTTCTCACTCCCACCACACCTTTCTTAAGGCTCTTATCAATCAAAACTCCTACTTCATTTCTATTCGTGACTGTCCCTGTGTACCGAAGCTTGAAACCTGTATTGTTCACCTCCTTCACCTTCTGATCCTTTCATTTAGTCTCTTGAACGCATAATATATTTACACGCCTCCTAGTCGCAGTATCAACTAATTCTCTTAACTTATCTGTAAGCGACCCTATATTCCAACTATCTAAACGGATTCTAATTGGTTCGACTAGCTTCCTTACCCTTCGCATTCGTCGACTCAGATGTGAAGACCCTTGCTCATTTTTCACTACACCCGGGCGCCGATGTAGCGCGCCACTAAGAAAGCGACGATCCGATCCTTACTCACTTGACACCATGCCCAGATCGCGACACGGCGCGTCACCAAGGGGGTGCTGACTCGGCCCTTGCCCATTTAACACCATTCCTGGGTTCCGATATGACGCGTCGCTAAGAGGGTTACACCCCAACAGTTTTCTTTCGGGTTTCATCTCCATTAGAATTGTTAGATTTAACGTTGGCTCGCCACGCCTATCACAACCCTCCTCCTTTACCAGGGCTTGAGACCTGCTATGTTGAGACAGTATAGGCGGAGTTTTAGCAAAAAAACAGAAAAAAAGAACTTGAATCTTCAACATGAAGAATAATCATGATCTTGGAGTTTCCAAAATCCTTTTTTAAAAGAAAAACAATTCACCCAAAAAGTTATGCACATTGAAGATTTGGTGCAAAAGTAGAAATGTGGCAAGAAAAGAGACATAGAAACTATTCAATTCCAACGTTCGAAATGGGACATAAACATGAGCTTCAAATTCCCTTATACTAGTCTTATTAAGGACAAATGAATCGTTGTTAGCAGGGAGCCTATGCAAAATCATTGTTCGGTGTGCGTGCAACATAGAGAAGTTTTGCTGAAGTTTTGTTTTTATTTGATAATAATTGTCCAATCGTTGACTAATTAGGCTCAAAACGTTCGTCTCGCAAAGTACAACCAAACTGTGCAATTAGTTTTTAATTTCGTCAACATTTAGTACTTTATGCATGTACCGCAAGTTTGATTTGACGGAGAATATTCTTTTTGCATAGTGTCGAAGTTAGGAATTTGATGAAATTAAACATGGCCTAGGATTCCATGTCCAGCGACCTTAGAGGGGGACGGGGGCGTAGTTGGCCTAGCGGTGGTGGCTCTCGCAAGCAAGGCGACAGGGACAAAGCTTTGTCGTCTTCCTTCTAAGAAGATTCCAATTAGAGGAAAAGTATAGTGGCCGGAGTGGTGGGGGTGAATGGAGGGCGGTGCAGCTAGTAATGGCGACAGCAGGGGAGTAATAAAGATGAACTTTTTTACTATGGTTGGGGAGGCATCAGGAAGCGTTAGATGTGTCAATGACTGGTGGACCCATATGAGAAAAGGCGTTGGGAGCATCAATGAGGGAGGCGTTGGGAGGCATTAGATGTGTCTATGATCGGTGAGCCCATATACGCCGTAACGCCTCCCAATGCCTCCAACGTTAAGGGGATTAGGACTCCAAATAAAAGAGTGGTAATTCTATTTTTGTAGTTCTTTTATTTAATCAAAGGGAAAATGGTAAATTCATAATTATAAAATTAATGTTTTGGGTAGTATAGTTAGGGTGTATGATTTAAGTACTAAAGTTAGATAAATATTTTTTTGAGTAGTATAGTTAGGATGAATAATTCAAGTAGTATATAGTTAGATAAACATAACATTTTATTTCTAGGTTCATCCAGGCCACCGCCTCCTCAGCCGCCGTCGCCTACCTCCGCCGACGCTCCCGACCTCGCGCCAGGACATCCAGGCCACCGAGCTGCGTGGCCCGCTCGGCCGGCCTCCTCCGGGCGGCTGCCGGATCAGGATCGGGCTGCCGGGGGTGCTGTACTGGAGCAGCGGCGACGACGGCATAAGCAGGCTGCTTGTGGCGCGGGCGCGCGGTAGGAACAGGTTCGGTGGCGGAGGGCGGGGAACGACCATGGATGAGGTAGTGGAGGAGGACGAGGAGCAGGCCGCCGATGTGGTGATCATCGACGCAGGGGACGACGAGGAGTATGCCTCCGACGAGGTGTCCGGGTTCAGGGGCCTCGTTCATGATCTCTCTTACAGGTGCGATCACAATCACACACATGTATGGGTCCACGTATTAGAGACATGTGGATCTCATATACTTTAGTTCCAGCACACAATGAAACTTGAAAAAGGCTTAAATCATATCTTTCGCTAGAGAATAAGATCAAAATTGTGGAATGTTTTGCACATGTATCAAGAAGCAACATGCATGGTTTAACATCAGTTGCAGAGTTATAGTTCTTAAACTGGTGGTCTATTTCATAATACCTTGAGCCTTTGGGCCTTCTTGTTTGTTGGCCCACAGTTAGCCTCCCGACCACCGAGATAATCTCTAGACCACTACAGATAGCCTCCAGACCACCGACCAAAGCCTCCAGACCACTACCTGATAGCCTCCAGACCACCGAGATAGCCTCCAGACCACTCCGTTGGTCTCACAGGATCACCGGCTCACGACAGTGAGCCACTCCAGCCGATCTTGCCAAACACCGGCTCAGGCGAGTGGAGCACTTGTCGGTCTCGCCGAGCACGCGCTAGTGTTGCCGAGCACCCACTAGCCGTGCAGACCACGTACCGGCGTTGTCCGTACCCACACACTACGGATCGAGCTAGAAGAGGAAGGGAGAACAGAGCAAGCACGCACAATACAAGGCAATAGCATTGGCCGAAGCCCTGTCTGTGTGATGGCAAATCTGAGCTCTCTTTACTGAGTTGCCATATATGTCTATTTATACAACTCTAACTATCTAGTCCATGTGCAGCGCCCATGCTGGCACAGTAACTAGATAACCTGACAGGGCAGACTCTGCGCCGGCCACTGCCTGTTCCTACAGTGCTGCAGGTGAGTCGTGCGGCGCCTACACCTACAGTGGCTACTGTATCACAGCAGGGGGCAAAGTCGGCGCCACCTTCCCTTGCTGTGTTCACACACAGCAGGCAGCTAAGTCGGCGCCGCCTTCCTCTGCTGTGTTCTCACAAGCTGGCAGTAGATTAGCTAACATTGTTCCAGTGTCACTACTAGCTATACTGATGTACTGTACATCATTTTTATTTGCTTTTCGAGTACGATCAACCACATAATTTATGCATGAAATTTCTATTTCCACAAGGCACTTCTGTCATCAGATTTCGATGCACTTAGCTGGAATTTG